CGGCCCGGAAGCGGAACCGCGGCCCGGCCAGCAGCGCCCCCGCGCAGCCCCGCCCCCTCCAACGACGCGTACCGGAAAATCGTTTATTGCATTTCAGAAACGGGGACTGGCTTTCCAGAGGAAAGAGCTACGCTGAGAAGAGGTGCGTTACAAACAGCAGAGTGAGTTAATACGAGAGCCAGAGAGATGAGGAAAGGTTTATTACAACTTAATTCCACATAATTTAAAAAAAAAATTCCTTTAAAACTGTTAGCTGTAATACAAATTCTTTTGTAGTATAAAATCAAGTTGCCAGTGTATGTATCAGTACCACACTTCAGAGTCTTGGGCTCCCGCTGCTGGCAGGCACTCCACTCCCCACAGCCCAGCTGGGGCCAGAGCCCCACGCGATCCGTCCGCTCTGCAGGTCAGCCCAGGCAGCACCGAGGGTTCTTCAGGGCAAGGTTCTGCGCTCCAAGACAAAGCACGGCGAGGCTCTTCTAGTTTGAATTTCACAGAAATAGCTACAGCTGTAAACTGGAGAAAGCACTTGCACATCTAAGCGCGCCTCATGACATCCTCCAGACACAGTCCATCAACTGCTCAGCTCCCTGCGGATGGCTTCAGCTATGCTTAAAAAAAACACTTCGGTATTTCAGAAATCATTCGCAAATTGAAAAATTAACATCGATCTCTTCACAGAAAGTCTCTTCCGTGAATTCAGACACACACACTGCATTTCTATTCAGTAACAAACTGAGGAATCTTGAACAGTTTGGGAAACCCGCACAACTTAACCCAGGTTTTCTGATCTCCTGAAAACAGAAAAAATCCAGCCATGGGATTGCATGAAGTCTGTATTTGTTACCTGCCCACAGGAGAAAAAAAAACAACCAACCACCCACAAACACATATGGGAGGAACAGAATGGATTGTAGACTGAAGCACTGGACTACTTACAATAAAACGCACAAAGAATTGTAGGGTGAAATAAAAAAGTAAGATCACAAACTGAGAATGCCCACTGAACGGAAAAGCTCAACAGATCCGTGCGCTCCCGACGTTCATTCTCATGAAAACCAGAGGCCAGAGGAAACCAGTTGTCAGCCCACAGGACTTTTGCTCCTGGCAGAAAGCGACAGAAATACAAGGCATCTAAACGACTATTAATAAGGTACTCCAAAGTCAGTTAAAAGTTTTTGATGGTGTTCAAAGTTCACTTTCTGCTCATTTTCATCACTATCGTGTTACTCTCCTCAGTACTGTTGTGCAATCCATTCATTAAGTCATTTAGATGGGGAAAAAGTGTTCTAGCATAATGTAATCAGTAATGTAATCAATTTAAATTAATTGATTAAGTAGTTGAATTTTATCTCACCATACTATCTTCCAGTTAACACCAGGATGGCTGCTCCATGAGCCTACAGAAACGGGGGGGGGGTGTGCCTTCCGCCCCATGAGCCCACGAAAAGGGGGGGGGGGGGTGTGCAATATACTTGCTCACAGGATTTCTTCTCCACAAAATTGTTGTAATCCAGTTAGGAATAACCACAAAAGATGCAGAACTAAAAGATTTCAGTATGTAAAAAAGTAAAAAATTTTTTTAAAACAGTAGTTGCTTCAATACCAAATTGCGAATATACGCAGCAAAAAAGAGGTGCCTGTTGTTGAAATTAAAAGTCTGTGTAAGAGCAGTCCAAACATACCACAAACTTTTTAAACTACATCTCTGAATAAAGCCAAGGTTATGGGCTTGCACCAGGGTAACTACACAGTTGGTTTAGGCCTGACCAGCATTAAAAAAAAAACAACACGTGCACTGGCTTAAATAAATACATTTTAAACATGATAAACTCTATTTACGCAGTTACTAAAATTTACCTACAGAAAATAATCTTGAATTACAAGGCAGAGAGTTAATTGCTGCCTGCAAGTCAAGCCCACACTAAAGGCCTACTACTAAAGTAAAGACAGAACGTGGTGAGTAGAGGTTACGTCACGGAAATACTCCTACACCTTCACAGCCTACAGGGCACTGCGGTGGGAGCCACATCTGGAACAGCACTTCTACAAGTGCAAAAGATGCAAAGACACTCCAGGCAATGGCACTTGGTGAAGAAAAAATATGCAGAGTCTCTAGGCTTCTGCAGATATCATGCATAATGGGTGTTCTGGTGTTGCCTGCGATCAGGCAGCGTTTGGAACTCAGTGTTGGTTCACTAGCCACGCACACCAGTATTTGGATTAACTGCAGTTTGTAATCTATGGGTTGCAGTTTGCTAAAGCAGTACCAGTACGAGCATACCTCAGATATACAAAAATTGCAGTTAGCATCAGCCTCAGTTACACCAGCTGAAGAAAGGCACATCCTCTGCAGAGAGGGGAATCAGGGCACAAACACAAATGTTTCTACCCACCTGGTATTTTCACCCATATGAGATAAAGCAAGGTCAAATCAACACAAGATCCCTAACAACCTTGTTTATATAATTTTCTGTTATCTTGCTGAAATGAGGCTTTTTTCTGCCCAGGGTATACACCAGTGCAGTTCTGCATGTGTGGGCATCACAAGAAAGCAAGTTCTGAATTACCAATTGAGGCTGCATCCGGACAAAGACAGCACTGTCAACCTCAGACAACAAAGCCCAGTCCAGCACCACTGGTTTCACACAAAGTATCTTTGAAGCATGCTGCTTTCATACCACCAAGCTGTAAGGTTAAGTCTAAGGAAGGTTTCATGCACTCACTCCTCAGCTGGTCCTGGAATCACACAAAGAACAGTGCACATCATAAAAATAAAAGCCAGCTGCTACTCACTAGAGCTGCTGAAGCAAGTTAAAAAGTACTTAAATAGAACTTCAGTTAAAAGAGTTTTATAATAGCTGATCACCTAGTAGAGAAAACTGCCCAGGCAAACCTATCCAGTGACTGGCTAACCATTACAAATTTAACTGAAACCATCAGTGAGCTGGCAGGAACAAACTAGGGTTCCCTGTTTCTGCAAAAAGAACCTCCAAATTTTCTGTCAGTGTTCTCCCAGAAAAACAATAAAGGAGTTTGCTGTAAAAATCTCAAGTGGTGGCCCCAAGAACATTAATAAGTGAAACAATGAACTCCTCAAGAGCAAACGAGCTGCTATCAGTCTCTGGGATTCATCAAAGGGATCACACTGAAAAATCTCGTTTTGAGAAGTGTGATCCCAACTACCTCAGCCAGTCCAAGTATGTAACTGTTAACTTTATTCTCAGGGTGCAAAGTCTCTTCGGAGAGTGAAATAAAAACTCAGTTTAGAAGATTATGGAAGACTTGCATCTTACTCTTCCACCTCTTCAATTCAAAAGTATGAAAATCACTCATTTGAGTGACTCATCGTTACCCTAAGTTCCTTACATAAGGAGAAATCAGCTCCTGCTTCTATTAATAAAATCATTTGCAAGTGTTCCCTGGGTCTTGCTCATTGCATTAAAATGCCTTATGCTAACTCTTCATATAAACAATCACAATTCACTATAAAGTGAATCTCAGTAATATTTCAGGCATTTTTGCATGTAAACAAATTGTTTTCAAGGTTTAAATTGACAAAACAACTGGACAACCATACTTCTGTTTGTAAAATAAAATCAGTAAATAAGGGATGGGAAAGCAGCAGCTACACTTCAAGCAAAGTTATCAAAATTTGTGCTTTTCAGCAAATCTAGTAACTGATGGTTACCTAGTAAAGAAGTCTGGCTTCAAAGAAGTCCCTTCATTTGTTTTCCTGCACTAAATAAGGACATAAGCCAACTGATCCCTGGAGAAGCTGGAGACTGGAACTTTTAGAAATAAAGTAGAATTTGACCTCTCGGAAAAAAAAACCCTGTTCTGTTTCAGTTTCCCTGAAGCAATAAGACTGCAAGAATATTCGTTCCATAAACCATTTCTGCTTAGAGCTGTTAGTGCAAGATGCAAATTTTCAATTTAACTCATTAAAGAGCCCTCCAAGATTCTAGTCAATATTCAACTTCAAACATCCATCACCCAAGGTAACTACAATAAGACACATTTTCTTGTGTTCTTCTTTGTCACAGGATACAGAACTGCACGCACAGCTTCAGCAAACACCTCCCGAACACCCTCCTGATTCAACGCTGAGCACTCCAAATATTTGACTGCTCCAATTTGTTTAGCCAGTGAAGTCCCCTGCTGCGGGGTAGTGGGAGCCAAGCTTTGCTCCTTCAATTTTTTAACTGTTTCCAGGTCATTTCTCAAGTCTCTCTTCGTGCCTACTAAAAGAATGGGAACATTTGGACAGTGATGAGAAACTTCAGGATGCCATTTGTGCCTCACATTTGCATAGGAAGAGGGGCTACCGATGGAGAAACAGATGACGAACACATTGGTTTGAGGATATGAGAGCGTGCGCAGGCGGTCATACTCCTCCTGGCCTGCAGTGTCCCAGAGATTCAGGCTAACTGTCCGGCCATCAACAGTCATTTGGGCACTGTAGTTGTCAAACACAGTAGGGATGTACTCTTCTGGGAAGGCATTGGTGGTATAGCTGATGAGAAGACACGTTTTTCCCACAGCACCATCTCCAACAACGACGCACTTTATAGTCTGCATTCTTTACCCAAAAACAAAGTCCTGCACAAAGCAAGCAAAACAGTTAGGAAAAGCACACTCATTGGCAGTCATTTTAAAGGTAAGCTTTAGCAAGTGTTTCGAATATTGCTAACAACTTCTTATCACAGCTAGACACATTCAGCATCTTGGAAGCCATTATTAAGAGCTCACAGGCTAGAAAGACAATAGTGAAACGGAGATGCAAAGATTGAGAGCTCGGTGACAACTGGCGGCATTCCAACCATGTAAGTACAAATTAGCCAAATTCCCACAGTCTTGCCTTACTGCCAGACAGTTTCCCACAGGCAAAGGGACAAGTCCTTAAAGGTACCTGTATGTGGAAAAGGATCATGACTTCAGACCTAGTAACAAGGTCCTCTGTCATTTGTAGTTCACACACCCCCTCCAAGAGTCACACTTCTCGTCTACATAGTCTACTGCCTGAACAGTTTACCACAAAGAAAGGTCCAGAAATTATGTAATAAACCAAGATATCCATTGCTGGAGTGCACTGCTACTGTTTACTGTAATAATTCACTCAACTCAGGATCAATCAGACCTCAAGAAACTGCATTATTTAGAGGACACCAGATAAAAGGTTCAGAAAGCAGCACATACAAGAAAAGCTATTCTTTGAAATATAACTAGCCATAGTACCCAGATTAGAATACATAAAGATTTTTTCTAAAGAAGTCAAGAACACATTATTCTCACTAAGCAGTGACAGAACAAGCAGAACTTAACAGGCTTGAGCTGCAATAAAAAAAGCTTATACTTAGAAAAATACATGCTGTGAAAGATCTGCAGTCAAACAGCCTTCCTAGGCAGACCGGGGAATTGTTACAGGACGCATACGACACTTCAGAGGCTTCCCTATCCCTTTCTTGCTATGTTAAGAGTAGATTTGACAAGAAATGGATATAGCCTAAAACTCCATTAACTCTAAACTTTCACCACATCAACAGCGTGAACTTTGAAAATAGCATGGAACAACTACAAGCAGTCATTTGTTGTACATTTGTTGTATACTGGAGCTTCCACTGCTAGCCTGAACAAGAAGGAACTTGCATCTGCCTTCTTACCCAAATGCCTTTGAGGTACTATCAGTAATTCTCAACTTGCAACCAGCAGCAAATACACTGCTTCAAACAGAAGAAACAAATAGTAGGAGGAACTATATTGCATATTCCAGGAAGATCACAGCTCACCATCAAAGCAGCAAAGGGAACATACCAAAATGAGCAATGGTGAAGTACTTCACTTATAAAGGTCATGAAACCCCCTCCCTCCAACTTCCTCTCACGACCATCCAAACAAATCAACAACTTATTACCATTTTGACAAAATCTTTATCTATATCCACATACTGCTGTCTTCCCACTGACAGCACATGATTCTCCTGTACTAAGTGAAAACAGACTACCTTAAGCTTTGGCACAAAGCTGAAGCAGGCAACTCGAGTGGCATCAACTGCGGTCACTACAACATACAGAGCTTAACGAAGTATTAATGCATGTACACATGCACTATTGAAAACCAATCAGCTGTGTGAAGCAGTGCAGAAACCTTGCTCCAGAAAGACCCAGCAGGACATTGGAGGGAAAGAATTTGGAGGAAAACAAGTAGAAGGAAGATGCAAAAGCAGTTTATCCTTTTTTAAAATGGCAGAAATTACATTTCTAAAACAACATGAATCACCTGAAATGAAATCTGGCAAGTACTTCTGAACTTTGGCAGAAAAGCACACACGTGAGTTTCATCATACATCAAAAAAATCAGCCATCTCGTTTCAAGGCTCCAGTCAAATGTAAAGAGAGATGTGCATACAACTGCATATCGTAAAGGTAATCAGTAAAATTAAGAACAGCACCAACCAGCAAACACTGACAGCAGGACTGCATATACTATTCCAGAACAGTTGCACCAAGATTTTCATTTAACAGGGCTGGGGGAGGGGGGAAAAAAAAAAGAAAAAAAGAAAAAAAATAAGTAAGTTCTGTCAAATTAGAGGCTTAGAAACATTTCCTGCATTTTGCAAAGCCCAAAGTTGAAACCACTTTTAATATAAAATTACTTAAAATATCAGAAATTAAACGCTTTTAACATTACTATTAATAGGCTGAACACTGTTACTGGCAGCACACAATACAACATCTTAGTTCTGAACACAAAGGGTCTAAGTGCTACAAGCAGACAGTGACAGAAGAGTGGATGTATTTCAATACCATAACACTTCTACCTGAAGATGTAACTCACTGTTCTAGTCTCTACTGCTGCTCTCCCTGTAAGGAGATCACTACCTGCTTCAAGATGCTACCACGCTCTCTCCAGCAGCGAGGCTGCCTTCAGATGTTTCCAAACCCTGTTTCCCCATCCCACTCAGACAGCACACCAACTCCTCAGCTGCGACCACACACTGAAAAAGGGTGAGGAGTTGTTTCATCCAGTTTACTGAGTAGCACCACAATCAACTGTGGTGACACAACAAAGCCAGTGGCAGCATATGGTGGGAATGATCACAGGGGAGTAACACCATGCGCTGCAGTTGCTGCCACAGCATCACTGAACAGCAGCACAGAGAGCAGGGTGTAAAGCTTATTTCTGCGTTTACTTCCAACCACTGCAGTACTAAAGATACTGTGCCACAAACCTTAGTGGTCACCAACAATTCTAGAGCAAAAGCTTTTTCTTCCAAATTAACTACCTATGCAACAGACTGCTATTTTGATCAGTCAATAAGTGACATCACAGAGATGGCAGAACCAAGTCAGTTGGATACATGCAATAAAAACTCAACTATAGCAACAAAAGTCTCACAGAGAACAAGATACACACAGTCTTTTATATGCCTAGTTCCTAGTTTCTAAAACAAATCGCAAAGACTTGCAAACATATATGTTAACATATTTTAAAGACACACAACCCACGAGCTCCCCCAAATGCTTACACCTCTATGCATTTCTGCCCAGAGCTTTTCACAGAAAGACAGGGTTTCCCAGAATTGCAGCCCTACCTGCACACACGAGGCACTGGTATCTGGAGGGTCATCACACCAATACTGTAAGACAATACAGGCAGTTTCATATATTGGTAAACCACAAAGCCAAGTGTATCCCGTACCGTCAGCAGCTAAAATAGCTTCATTCAACCCAATTTAAAAATTCTAATTAAAGTGTTACCCAAAGATTACTTTGTTGGGGCTTTAAGAGGTCACTAGAGCTTTCAATTCAGAGAATAGTAGTAAGGTAACAAAAAAGTCTGGAACACGAATGCTTTTTCACAGCATTAATATCTTGAATTACCTGACTAACATTTGGATTCTAGAAGAGCAACATTTGCAATAGAAAATAACTCCATGCCAACATGCCAAAGCATCAGGTAAAGTATGAACTACACAAATACAATTAAAGAGCTTGTAGGCTTTTAGTCCTTCTCTGCAGGGCTCCTTTAAAGCAGAGTGTCTCACCTGAAAGGAATCATGTTTGGCATATGCAATACAGAAAAACACACACACACCAGGATACCCATGATTTAGTACTGAAACACAAATTTTAGAGAAATTAATTTTAAAGAAGAGTAGAAAGAAGCTCCTACACTCTAGAAACCTGTATGTTGTGACCACGTGTAGTTTGGTTAAATATTTATATATGGAAGACAAAAGTTTTTTTGATTTAAGCCACAACCAAGCAAACAATATTACCTGCTTTAGGCCTTTTTTATTAAATCTACATATTGCTTTCTTCAAAATGTATAAAGCCTCTATTTATTTTTTCTTGTAAACAATCGGCCTGACAATAAAACTCTCGTAAGATAGCAAGAAGCTGGCGTTCAAATTTGCATGGAAAATTCTTTTTATTTCTCCAGCACCCTTGAACTTGGCACTGCATGCTATTTGAATATAAATATATGCTGAAAAAAACGTACTCCAAAACCAAAATTACCAAACATTACCAAGAGCAGGAAAATTGGTTTAGGGTTTGTTTGGGGGTTTTTTGGTGAGCTTCAAAAGAATGTTGGGGGAAAATTTAGAGAGAAGAACTCCACATACATATTACAACAGGTATTAAGAACTGAAAAAGAGAAAAATACAGATTAACACATCAACACATCAAAAACAAGACTTAGAATATAGAAACAGAAAGCTGGGCACAGCTTCAAAGCCAAGTTTAAAGGTTACTCGGCAAGAGAAGGGAGTGAACGGAAAGTCCAAAGTAGTGAGATGCAATTCAAGTTGCTTAGTCCTGCCAGAGAAACGACTTTTGTTACAGTTAAGGTGGAAGATCATCAGAACATAAGAGTTTGAGCAGTTACAGCAGAATGGGAATAATTTTTAAAGAAAAAAAAAACCAAACCCAACCACCAATGTTGTGCAAAAATACTTAGACGAGAGTTATTTCTATCTTGTCCATCAGTGCCTCTGAATTAGAAAACTAGCAATCCTGGTTAGCTTCCATCTCAGAAGATGCTGCAAACTCTGCCTTTGCTGCCTGCACACCTGGCACTTCCTTTGGAATGTGCAAGATTTCAATCGACATGTTGAGACACTGTCTGGTGAGCTGCTCCCTTTCTGACCTAATTACATATATTGTGGTATCATTAACACCGACAGCTTGCTGTCCTTTAACCCAGCCGGACATTTGCTGGGGAATTCACTACTTGGATTCCACTCCTCCTCCCCACAAAGCTAGCATAAATGAAATCACAGAATAATTTCATGTTACATCAAAATTTATTTGTGGAAGAGAAAAACCATCTACATCTTCACTTTAATACTCCTGAAGGAAAGTTCCCTGTCTGCTGAGAGAAGGGAGTAAATAGTGACAGAAAACAGAGAGGAAACACGAACCTGAATTATTCTGGGGCTTTCTAGATTTATGCTTTTTATACTTCCTGCATTTCAAAAAATTCTTGGCAGAGGAACTACTTTCTAGCAGGATATGTCTCTGCTCTTGCTACATTAACATCGATGCCTTTTTGTTAGGTGGGTTTTAGCCTTGATATTGGTCTTCAACAACCTCATTTTCACAGAGCTTGTCAGGTCTTCTGTATCTCTCTTTCCAGTTTCGGAAATTGTTTGCCATTTTGGCCAACAATGAGCAGAAAATGCACTAGTTCAGCCGAAATCACCTGTACTGAGCTGTGTCATTCTCTACAGCCATCACCTTTGATCAATCCCTCCCTGTTTTGCAGGCTCAGAAGTCTGATCCTGCTTTATCAGGAGCAAGCAGAAGTTAAGAAATCTAAATGACTTAATTGTCATCTTTCAGTAACAAAAACTAGATCAGAGATTATTACTTTGTCTGCCCGATATGTGAAGTCAAGCAGCAACACAACAACGAATCGGGTGGATAAGGCAGTTCTAAGTATATCCTACCATCCTCACCCATGCAAAGGAGTTAAAAGATTTCTCACGTGCACCGCTTTGACACCAGACCTGACAGCAAAAAGAAAAGGGCTTTCAGCAATTTAATCAAGACTGTGTTACTATTCCACCACAGCTCAGCTTACTCACCACTGTTTTAGGCAAGCACCAAATGAATGGACAAGTGCCAGATTTCAGAATGAGTGCCAAGAAAGAGTAAAAAAGTTAAATAGGAGACCTCATCTCTAATACCCTTCAGCAATGAATGACCTACTTGGACTTCTCGGTGCCTTTCAAAGTTTTCACACCGCTTTCTGTCCTGCCATTTACCTGCAAGAGAAACAAAACACACAGCAACAGCCTGAGTGGCAGAAGAGGGGTAAAAAATCAACAAGCCAAGCCAGATTTCAGCAGCACAGAAGGAACTGTGCAGTCCACAGCCCAGTGCTCCACATGAACAGCAGAATCAAGGAAGCTCACTTTCTGCAGAGCTCTGCCTGGAGGTTCAGCTCCCATGCCTACATTACTGATGCCTAACAAGAGTGCAATTTTCACTGGGTGTTCCCTCAGTGTGAATGCTAGAAAGGCCTTACTCCTTTTGGCACAAAAAGTTGTTTCAAGGAAATAAACCACCCAAACCTTTTATATAAGGTTTTTAAAACCTCTACACGTCAAATTAGGCTGAAATTGGTTTATCGATCTGAAGATTTTTTTTGCACTGATGAAACACACATAAGCTTTACCACATAAGCAGTATTTCTTAGGGACCCACAGTGAAAACAGAGTGGTCTGCATGAGGTTAGTTGGGCACCTCAACCACGAAAATCTCAGTCCATCAACACTCTTACTACAGGCACTCATACTCCATATTTATAAGAGAGCAATGATATTGGTGACCAAATATCAGTGACCTTAAGTTGTATGAAGCCAAGATTATGTTTACTGGATAATTATTTCCACGGGCCATTAGAAACAAACTCATGAAACAGCTACACAGCTGTGAAATAACACTACACCATGGTGCAGGTGCACAGTCATACAGGAAATAAAAAGTAGGACTTCAGTAGATATCTGAATCCCCAGCATGTGAATGTGACATGTATCCTGCCATAACCAAAAGCTGCAGAGTATTACACTTGATTTTTCCTCTTGCAACCGCATGCAGAAGCATGGATTCTTCAAGACAGGTACCCTTCACAATTTACTTCAGCACAAGCCACCCTGATGCACATCAAGGGTGAGCACAGTAAGGGTGTAAGACTAGGAGCCAGGACTGAACGGTTCTGTGCCCAGACCCACTACACACCTCCTGGGTGATACAAGCAACTTCCAGAGGTCTCAAGTATCACAATCGGTTCATAAAAAGTGAATTACCTATGTCCTTCCTACCTTTTATAGATTCTGGCAAAGCCTTATTCATTACTGTTGGCTAAACAAAAAAAAAACCCAGTACCTCAGACATGAGGTTCTGTGAACAGGCATATTAAGTACATTGCAGGATGAATGATAAATCCAGTTAAAGCATCCTTGATTCCTATTTGAGGTAGGGAAAAAAACCCTGTTAGTCTATCTTCCTATGAGTTTT